AAACCAAGTGAACCTTTGTCAAAACCCTGTTGTTTTAGCACACCAAGACTGAATTAAAATTTAGAATCATTTTGTTTCCCCATTCTCAGAATTTGGCCTATTGGAACATTAGGTTTCTTGGTCAGAACAAGAGTTTTATTTATGCTGTGTCAAAAATGAACTCATTCTAAATGGCAGATTTTGATATGTATGGAATATCAGCAAGTCTTCCTCTGTATCTTCCCCACTTTGTCAGAATGGTTCCATGTCATGTGGAAACATTTTAGTCTTGCTTGGATTTGAGACTTTAGTCACTGGTATTGAAGCTGTGTCTACACTCACATACATCCTGGAAAACTATCGTGTAGAGAGGGGGGCTCCATCCCCATCCCATCTCCAACTGTTAGCCTGTAGAGTATGAATGGTGATTGATTGTGACCTGCTGATTCTCATGACATTTTACCTTGCTTGACAAAAGCAGTGTTAGTCTAGTCTGTCCTTTGCTGAGATTGTGCTTTCTATTTGGAACTCAGAATTCGTTACAAAGCCATAGGTGGTATGATAGGGAGTGATGAAAACCTGGATACCTTAATGTGTTTAGAGGGTTGTAAATTTGAAGGATAGGCTCCTGAATTTGGAATGTGCTGAGGCTAACAGTTGGGGATGGAGTACTCACTCCCCCACTCTCTCATCTCCAGCACCATAGTTTTTGGGGATGCAAATTGTTGTAGACACAGCTTCAATGATTAGGAAAAGCTCTTTTCTTTGAAGCAGGAGAATTATATCCTTGCAAAACCAAACTTTTCAAAGGACAAGAAAAGTGTTGCATGGGGAATGTGGATAGAAAGGAAGGAGAACTCTACCCTGGAGAGTTTTTGTTTTAATTCAGAAATTTCTGTTGAAATACAACACATGTAGAACAGCATAAAGCAGCTGTGAAAAAGCTGATTAATGTTCACAAAGGTGATATACCCTGGTAGTTATCTTTTTATTACTTTTAATCCCTCCTTTGATAATTTTTAATCTCATCATTGTCAAGGCTGCTGAATTTATCTAGAAATAGTTATCTTTGAATTTAAATTGTACTCCTTAACCTCATTTTATTTTTATATTTCTAATATGGGGTATGTGTTTAATTTTCCTTAGACTTTTAGTCTCTTTCCTGAGTCTAACTGGATACGATGGGGATTTTTTTTTTAAAGGGGATTTTGTCTATACTTAGGGGAGTTGAGTCAGTGTTGTGCCTATGAGGCTAGGCTGTGCTGGTGAAATTGGGGGAGACAAAAAGAAACATAGCTGAGAATCTGGGGACTGGCGACCTGACTGCCTTTCTCTACTGGAGACTCTTCTTCCATAAAGCCTTTCTGTTTTAAAGTATTTTGGAAGATTGGGGTTAGGAGGAAGTGCTTTTCTTTCCTTGTTGGCACAGTGGCACCTTTAACCAGGGTCTACACATCGCTGTTCAGCTCCTCCTGTCTCTTACTGTAGTCCTGCTGGCTGGCTTCCAGCCTGGGGAATGGGTTGGCATTCCCACCTGTCTCTCTGGCTACTCCTGGATGAACTCCCGGTTTCCTTTTAACAGCCTTCTTTGTGGATCTCACACCCTCCCTGTGGCCTTCTTTTTACAATGGAACCCCAGAACCCTTAGCCAGTGGGGCTCCTTCTGACTGCCACTGTGGTAGGTGTCCTTACTAAGTGCCTTGTTTGCTGAGCCAGCTGCCTTCTCTCTGATAAAAGTACCTGAGCTTTTATATTGTCCTTTTAATTAAACAACCACAGCAGGGAATGGCAGCATAAATCTTACTGATAATTCTCATCATTTAACTTGTTCTCTCAGAGATGACCAAAAAGAGTTTTAGAAATTTGTTCAGGTTTTCTGATTAAATTTAGTTTATATTTAGTTTTTTTCTTATAATTGATTTCTAGTTTCATACTGTTGTGATTAGAAAAGGTGCTTGATGTGATTTTAGTCTTCTTAAATGTATTGAGACTTGTTTTGTGGCCCAACATACAATCTGTCATGGAGAACATTCCACGTGCATTTGAAAAGAATGTGTATTCTGCTATTTTTGGGTGGAATGTTGTGTATATATCTGTTAAGTCCATTTGGTCTCATGTGTTGTTCAAAGTCACTGTTTCCTTATTGATTTTCTGTCTGGATAATCTATCCATTGATATAAGTGGAATGTTAAAGTCTCCTACTATTACTGTATTACTGTCAATTCCTCCCTTTCTATCTGATTAAGCCCCTGTCAAAATCTCTGCAAGCAATCTAGAGTTACCTGTATTCCTGTGATAACCCCTTGCTTTTGTTTTTTCTTTTGAACTGAAAGGTAACTCTTTAAAAGTTTGTTTTAATTTTACATTTTAAAAAATCCCGAAATACCTAAGACATGCAAAAATACATAAAGAATAATACATACAATGGAAATACATACATATTTTAGCTTTAAGAATAAAACATTACACGTGTAGTTGCCTCTGTCTGATACTTCCATCTGCTATCCCCCCTCACCAGCTACCACTGTTCTGAATTTAGTCTGTTATTCCCACACAAGGCCTTAACTTTTACTACTTTTGTAAATACCCCTAAATAATATATAGTATTATTTTTGCATGCTTTTAACTTTATGTAAGTGATACAATACAATATATAGTCTCTTGTGATGTGCTTTTTTCATCATTAAATCTTTAATCATGCACAGATAAACACTTGTTACTTTGTCTCCCCTGCAGTCCCTTGTTTTATAGTAGGTTGCAGCATTGATTTTTATAGTGTCTAAATAAGAGTTTCTAGTCATTAAATCAGCAGGGCTACCCATTTTGGGTTCAGAGGCTTTTTCCATCTATAGTCTGATCCATGTTTGCTTATAGGGTCACCTGACTTTTTTCATTCAGGAACACACCCATGAACTTGTTGGGACACAACAGGGGAAGGCAAAAGCTTTCTGCCCCCATCTTGCTCCCTCGTAACTATCCAGCTGCCTAGCTACACCCTGTCCTTCGCCTCCTCCTCTTAATCACAAGCCATTCTCCACTTTCTCTGTGGAAATCAGAAACTTGAAATTGGATCTCAGAAGAAAATCCAGGTTACTGTGACATTCACGGGGTCATTCCATTTCGCATGAAAGTATTTTGCTTTGTTGCTAGAACTTTGGAGTCCTTAGGCTACTCATGATAGCTCTTAAAAATGGCTAGGAGCTTTGCCTTGCCACTCAGTCATTCATTCAGCAAACATATTATTGTTTGCTCACTGTGCCAGGTATTAGCAAATTAACATGGTCCCTCCCCTTATGGAACTCACAGTCTAGTGAGGGAGACAGGTATTAGTCATATAAATATAAAAGTTAGAACTGTGAACAAAGCTATGAAAGAATGTGTATTTTACCTACTAGATTTTATCTTGTCAGCAGGGGTGAGTGTGTCCTCCTGAAGAAGTAATGATTTAACTGAGATCTAAAGACTGTGTGGGAGTTAATTAGAGAAAGAGAAGAAGAGGTTGTTCCAGGTCAACTGAAAAGGCCTGGGAGCAGGAGGAGTGTCGCATGTTCATGGTGCTGGAACCCAGAAACTGAGAGGTGGCGGGAGAGGTGGGTGTGAGGAGGGCCTGGAGAGGTAGGGCTAGACCAGGCAGGTCCGTGTGGGCCATGGATGGACTTTTGTTATTATCCTAAAAGCAACGAAAATAATTTGTTTCCTGTGTTTTGTCTTTTTTTCCCCCCAGTTTAAAAAGCAGAAACTCCTCCTAGAACTAGACCAGTATGCCCCAGATGTGGCCGAACTCATCCGAACCCCTATGGAAATGCGTTACATCCCTTTGAAAGTGGCCCTTTTGTAAGTATTCTCTGACAAAACAGGGCTCAGTGCCAATGAATGTGAGGAAAATCTGATGAGATTTTCTCATGTTGTTCATTGTATTTTTGGAGATTTGCAGTCTTAGTCATCAAGTACTTGCTGTAATTCTGTTGCACAACTGGGGTCTGGCCAGCAAAAGAGACAGAGCCATTCTGTCTCTGTTGGGACAAAGCCTCACAGGGGGCCTGCACAATCAACTCTCTTCACAAATGCTTTTTCACTAGATGCTGATCTGAACTCCAGCCTACTTGTAATCAGTGTTTCTAAGAACTTTTTCAAGTGTATGTATAGATTGAATAAAACTCTGGTCTTTACGTGGCTATTGTTTTGAGCTGCTCCTATGTTTCCCATACAATTTAGTGCCCCTGAATTTGTAGTTCAGCAAACAAGTAAAAAGCCAAACAGACCCATCCCAGCTGGATGAGCAGTATGGGAGAGTGGAACCTATTTTTAAGGCTTTATGAAAGGGGTCTCTAGGAGTACTCAGTGCTGCCAGCAAGTTTAATTCTTTCAGGTTATTCCCATTTATGTTCCTGAGATAGATAAGTGGGATAATTATTCCATCAACTAACAGTCACTGAATATGAATAATATACTTGTTTCTACGGATATACAGTAAACAAGACAGACAAGTTTCCTAGTGGAAAAACATGACCTTAGAACTTAAGAATTAGAAGAGGCCTTATGAGAACATTTTATTCAACCCTCTGCTTTCTGTGTGAATTTCCTATTCAGTATTCCAGAGAAGAGGCTGTGCAGCTGCTTCTTGAACATCATCTGCTACTTAGAAATGGCTCTTTTCCCTCTCTCACCAAACCATTTTGAGATGTCAGTTCATATCTATATATTTCAGAAATATTGGTGGGAACCACCTAATAGAACCAGAAGTTCAGCAATGCTATGAATCCCTAATGAACTCATATGTCCCCTGGGGGTAGTTTTGTAATAACAGCAGCTATTTCTTTAAAGGTTGTGTAACAAGCCAATCTGTAATTGCTGAAAAAAAAAACACCAACAAATTCTGGGCCTTTGACTTTAGAACTGCTAATCTTACAGCCCTGGGAGGTATTGGATTTAAGGTCTTTATTTGGGAATAATTACAATCTCTCCCTGAGACACTGGTACATTTCTTCCTATCTGATAATCAGAATTATGTAATAACTAGTCTCCATTTCACTTTGTCTGCCAGGAAACTCAGAACCAGATTGAAAGCTGATTATTAAAATGCTGTAGAAGACTCATTTAGTCTTCTTTCCCTGGCCTTTACTTTTCCCTTTTATTTATGTTCTCCCTAGTCTTGCTTTTTTATTTCTATTTTTATTTTGCTGCTATTTTTTATTGTCTGTTCTCATTTGAGCTGCCTCTTATCTTTTGTTGAAGCAGAATAGATAAGTAAAACTAATAATCCATTATGCCTATATAAGATTTCCCTACTCTGCATTTTAAGTTCACTTTCTCAGTCCATTCGTTCCCACCTCAGGAAAAGACTAGGTACTTTAGCTTTGTTCCTTCCCAGTGGAACTTCAAGATGTCCTGTGAAGTATGGCATCTAGCTTGTTAAATTCATCAGATACTTACTCTGTCCTTGGAGTCTATCTGAGTGGGTACAGCTTGACTATCAAGAGGGCTAAACCTAAGCTGCTCTAACCTCTTGAATAGGGATAGCCTGTGTCAGAGCCTAGGACACTGATTAAGGAAAAACTACTTTCCTGGTTTTCAGATACAACTGTAGCCATTCCTAAGATTTATATGGCCTTTTGGGATGGTAGAATGTTACCACTTTTGAAGTCTGAGGTAGTAGAAAGAACATTGGCTTGAGAGCCAGAAAGACCTGATTTTGAATGTATTTATTAGCTTGTGAAAGCTTGGGTAAGTTGCTTAGCCACTGAGTCTCAGTTTTCTCATCTGCAAAATGGGAATAATGTTATTGCTAGTTTACCAGATCTGTGGTGATTCAGTGTGACAGTTTTTCATATACCGCATAGCACAGAATAGGTAGTGAATGTTCAGTGCCTTTTACTCATTGGTCCCTGACCTCGTTCCATTCTCTTTTACTTCGGAGAACTCATTTCTAAGAAGTTGCCTTCCCTTGTTATACTTTAGTAACTCTCTTGAACTTCCTGGCTGAGGTAGCCAGGACACCCCAGTTCTTTGACCAGGATTACTAATGCCAAATATGTGTTTTCCCCCAGCTATCTCTTAAATCCCTACACGGTCTTGTCTTGTGTTGCCAAGTCTACCTGCGCCATCAACAACACCCTCATTGCTTTCTTCATTTTGGCCACGATAAAAGGTAAGGCCTCATAGGAAAGTACAAAGCTCAGTCCCTGATTTGTGTAGGATTTTGTAACACTTAAGCCTTGGATAAACAGTGAAACATTGAAAAAATTTTTTTAATTATACAAGTAATACTTAGAATACTATAGAAAACATGGATAAGCCAAGACAAAAAAAATTTAATTAAAACGTGCTAAAATTCTACTACTCAGAGAGTCTGTTAACGTAGTTTAAAAAAAACAACTAAAAAGCTTATAATAAGAGTAGCAGCCCCTGCCTCTTACTTCCCACCTCTAGTTCAGCTTTTCTGAAGAAACTACTTTCTGGCTTTTGCTAGTATTTACTTTCATATTTCCAAATGAGTCCTCATACTGTTATTCCATGAATTTTAATTTTAGACGTTATCTGTTGCATTCCCATTATGGGAGGTAAAGATTTCACTCTTCTGTACTGATATCTTTACTTCCCTTTTACCTAATTTTCTGAGAGAGGTATGTCACAGTTTTGATTAAATCAGCACTCAATACCTAATTTTATGACACTGTATATATTATTCATCTGCTGGGCAAAATAGTAACTATTATTGCTTTTTCTTTCTTGGGGTTCATAATTGTCTTTTGCTTTGGTTTTTTCTTTGCTTAGTCTTTTTGTACCAATCACTATTTTTTCCCTCAGTTGCTCTGCTAGAACTGTCAAGTACCTAATAATAATTTTTTTTTAATGCTTACATACATCAAATAGTCCATTGGTTTCATTGTTTGTCTGGCGATATCCCTCACACATCCTCCATCCTGCCCCAGTCTGTCTGGGTTGTTGTCTGGGCCTGGTGCAAAGCTGTCATACTGGGACTTCCCTTTATAATTCTCCTCTTCTGTACCCCTTCTTTCCTGGATTCCTTTTCTCCTTAATTGATTTTTTCCTCTGTTGTGCTAAAGTACTTCCTCTAGTAGTTTTCTAAGAAAGGGTATATGAGATACAGATTTTGAGTCATTCCAATTCTGAAAAATGTCTTTGTTCTAGTTTAGCACCAAATTAATAGTTGGGGCAAAATACAGAATTGTAAACTGAAAAAGCTTTTCCTTCAGAATTTTGAAGGCACTGCTTCACTGTCTTCTAGCATACCAGTTGCTATTGAGCAGTTTGATGCCATTATATGTAACTTAATTTTTCCTTCTAAAAGATTTTGAATCTTTTTTTATCCTCAGTGTTTTGAAATTTCATGATGCTATGTCTTGACATGGGTCTTTTTTCATTCATTATGCTGGATACTTGGTAGGCCCTTTCAATATAGAGACCAGTGCCCTTTAGTTCTAGAAAGTATTCCTATTTTTCAAGTCTCTCCTCTCTCTTTTCTCTGTCTTGTTTGGGATGTTTATTGGATATTGGACTTAATGGTTGATTTAATTTGTGTATTTTATTTTCCATTGATTTTCCTCTTTTCAATTTACTTCCTCTTCTTTTTTTTAAATTTTTTGCATTTTGGTATCATTAATGTACAATTATATGAGCAACATTATGGTTACTAGACTCCCCCCATCATCAAGTCCCCACCACATACCCCATTATAGTCACTGTCCATCATGTGGTTAGATGCTATAGAATCACTACTTGTCTTCTCTGTGTTGTACAGCCCTCCCCATGTCCCCCCCTACATTATGTGTGCTAATCGTAATGCCCCTTTTCCCCCCTTGTCCCTCCCTTCCCATGCATCCTCCCCAGTCCCTTTCCCTTTGGAAATACTTCCTCTTCTTTTCTGGGATATTTCTTGTTTTTAATTTCCAGCTCTTCTATTGAATTTCTAATTTTTATATTACAGTTTTAAGTTCTTCCTTGTTTCTGTTTGTTTCTTTGAAGTGTCCTATTACTATTTTATCACCACAGTATCCTCTCTTATTTGTTTTTGTTTTTCAGTTTCCATCTGTTCCAAGCATAGTCTCTTCATCTTCCTGGTCCTCCCCTCACCCCCCACCCCTTTTTGTTTGTTTCTTTTGGGCTCTATCTTTCATATGGGGAGATTTTGTCTTACTTATGGTGATCCTTGACTTTTTATTTTTTACGAGAGTGTCACTACTATGTTTATTCAGGATTGTGTGTGGGTAGGATGTGTTGATAGATCATTCTGACTGTAGGGCGATCAGCTAGTGGGCTGACCATTTTTGTTGGAAGTATCCCTAAATGTCATCTATTATAGGTTTCGTATTTAGATTCTAGAAGAATCCAGAGAGGAATCTTCTGATTTCCTGCCTAAGGGTAACAAGAGTTGGAGCTACGAGGGTGGGGATTGCATGTGACCAACTGCTGAAGTTGTAAGAACAGGAACAGGGGAGGTGGCTAACTGCAATATATCGACGCGTAATCACGTTACTTTTCAGTCCACACTTCTTCTCAGCCCATTAATAGACTTGTGCCTCTTTAGTTAGTTTTCTCCAGAACTGTGGTCTCAGGATGGAGTAGAAAGAAGGATGGCATATGTCGTGGTAGTCACCTGGCTGCATATAATTGAGAATGACACCTGGGGTTCTGACTGGTCAGTATACAAACTTTTGGCTTGATTTTCCTCTCTGTACCTTACCCTCCACCTTCCTTCAAGGTTTTGAATTTCTCAAGTTCTGTGGGATATAGTTGGCCTGATTTTTATTTATATTCCTCTCTGAGGGCCATTGAGCTATAATTTCTTCCATATTGCCTAATGATTTATTCCTCTTCCACCTGCTTTCACTTTCCACTATTGTATTAAAGTTTATTTTGCTGTATTATCCTCTCCTGTTCTTTGTGGTTTAAGACTAATTTTATTTCTTTAATGTCAGTTTAGTGAAGTTTTGGAGGGAGAGATGATACACATGTGCTCAATCTACTATTTTTAACTGGAAGTCTATTAACATTTGTGGTATATATTTCCAGATTTTTTCCCCATTTTCTTCTAGATGTTTAAATATTTTATCAGTTACCTACTGCCACAAAAATATTTTTTAATAAATCACTCCAAAACCCAGTGGCTTAAACAATCGATAAGTATTTACTTAGTTCATACATCTGTAACTTAGCGAGGATCAGCTCACCTAAGCTGGACATGTCTAGGCAGCTTGTTGATTTCATCAAGGCTCATTCTGGCATCAGTGGCTGTAGTTGGTTAATCTTGACCTTCTCCACATGTCTGTCATCCTCTTGGAGTAGGGGACTAAGTTAGGCATTTTCTGCTCATAGTGATAACAGAGGCACATCTAAGCTAGCCTAATCATATGTTTTGTTTTTATTTATTTTTGTGTGGACAGATAAAAAAATTTTTATATTGAGGTACCTACAATAAAATGCACAAATCTTAGTGTATAGCTTGATGAATTTTGGCATGTGTATATTGGGCATGTGCTTTTTAGGTTTCTGTTTGCATCACATGTACTAACATCCCGTTGATCAAAACAACATGGCTAAGCCCAGGAGTGGAGGCTTCCATTCTGTCCACAGTGATAAGGCACTGAAAGTTATATGGCAAAGGGCCTGGACATACAAGGGGTAGAAAATTGGGATCAATAATACAGCCTACCTCATATGTCAATAAACATATAAACTCTGTCATTTTTTAATGGCTATATACTATTTTGTTGTGTAGATGAATGTACAGAAATTCTCTAACCACCTTGTACTATTAAATATGTAGGTAATTTTCCAGTTTTCAGCTATTTACATACTACTACAATTACTTTTCTAATGTACAGTTATTTTTGCACCCATGTGAATTATTTTCTTAACAATAAAGTCCTAGAAATAGAGTTACTTTGTTACTGGATATGTACCTTCTTTAGGATTTCTGAAATTTATTGCTAAGTTGCCTTTAAGAGTTATACCAATCTATACTCTCATAAAAAGTGTGTGAGAATCTTTATTTCCCTACATTGTTGCTGAATAATTTGCGCACTCAGGAAATAAAAAATCAGAAGTTGTACACAGAACTTTTAACTTACCTTTTCTAGAGTGGCACATAGGAATGCCGTAAATCTTCATGAGACATTGTTTCTCTGAGAGTGGTTGTGGGTGGTAGGTTGTTTACTTTGACTTATTCTCAGACTACTTAAAATGACTAGGTACTGCATAACCTGAATTGTCTTCTAAAGATTGTGGTCATTTTGACCAAAACATCTCTGAAATAGTGAACTCTACTGCCTCAGTCCCTGTTTTCAGAGTGGTAGGTTCGCGTAGACTCATTTATCAACGTGCCTGGGGTCTATTCAAATAAGGACTATGTGCTGGCAGAAGGGACTATGAGCACTGGCTTTTGGAAATGTAATCTTTAAAATCCTACAGCCATACCACCCTGAACACGCCTGGTCTCGTCTGTTAAAATATTTGAAGGAACTATTTTAGTTAGGTCACTGAAACATTATAACTCTTTGAGTATATTAGTAACCCCTGCCAATAGTATATATAATTAACTTTAGCTGAGTTATAAAATCTGCAAGTCATATTTCTACTTTTCACATTTGTACCACATAATTTGTTCTTTTAAAAAATTAATAAAGGAATAAGTCACTCTTTAAAGAAGAAAACAATTGGGAAAATTCACAAAAGAAGGAATATAAATGGCTAAAAAGTATGAAAAAATGTTCAACTCCAGAGTGATTAATAAAGAAAAGCAAATTGAAATAACAAAGAAGTGGCCTTTTTCCCCCCCCTTTCAAATTGGCAAAGATTTTAGAAGATAATTATTGGTATTGCAAGGGTACTAGCAAATAGGCATTAGCCTGCGTGGCAAGTTGATTTATAAATTAGTACAGCCCTCTTGGGAAGCAGTTGGCAGCAGTCTTAAAATGTTTGTATTTTTGATTTATTAATTCTACTTTTGAGAACCTATCCTAAAGTAATGCAGAAATACAGACAAAGCTTTGTGATGTGAAGTCAGGAATTACAAGATTATTCATGACTGGAAAAATTGGAAAGTACTTTAAAATAGAGGAATAGCTGAGTAAAACATGGTTTCCCCATGTAATTAAATAAAATACAGATAGTCGATGCATATGATGC